AAGCCATGTTTGTGCCCTATATTAATGGTGACAATGTTGTTGGCAATCATCCACGGTGTTACCATTGTTGATGGCCGATAGAGAAATTGTTGTCGCTGATGAAATCTTTCTTTATTCATTATGTTTTAAACTGTTATTGACAAAATATTAAGTCGACAATTTAATTATTACAAGCTAAAAATTTGTTAGTAATCTTGAATTTTTTTGAAAAAAAAAAAAAAAATCTACTATAAGTTAGTGACATAAATTTGAAGGCAATATATTATCTTTTTTATTATTTTATTCAAAGCTTTATCGATACATTGAATTTATTAAATATATTTTAAAATATCATCGACAAAAAACTTTGGTTTAATCTTAAATTTTTATTTATCCAATACATTTTATTGCTTCCATCGGATTACCCTCTAAGTCTGGTTGCTATGAATTGCGAAATTACTAGATCATATGATACTTTCTCATGATGAGATTAAATTTCTAACCTTTGTGCTGAAATCCACATTTATAATTTGAAGGCCTTGCATGTATGTAAATTGCTAGAGTTGTAGTATACACCTTGTATGTATATGTAACTTATTTATTTTTATATGTATCGCAGGACAAACAATTCATAATTCAGTGGTGTTGGGGCTGTGGCAATCCAGCTGTCGGTTTATGAGTTGGGATGGAAATTGGGTGTGGTGGGAAGAGAATATTAGATTTTAATTTCTTCTTTTATTGATATTATTTGGTGTGCCCAACTTCTTGGAACTTGGTTGAAATTTTAGAAAAGATTTGGGTTTCACTGCAATTTTCCATTAATATCCTTTTCTTATGTTTTAAGGGCAAATATGTCTTTTAAAGCATATTAACATATTGTTTTGGATGAAACTGCTATTAACGATGGATTACTAAATGAAAGGTTGGGGCTAATGACTATTATATGGTATTAAATGATAAACTCATTTAAATGTAAGATTATATGACTCATTTAATTAAACCAATAAAATGTAATTACCTAAACTGATGCTCCAACATCAGTAGGGATAAATAGTATTATATGGCTACGATTCTTGTAAAAAAGGTTTAGGGTTAAAGTGTAACATGGGTAAAAGTGTTATTAGTTGTACCGTTTAGTCCAGACCAATATTTAATATGGAATATGCCCTTAATTGATTAAAGAGAATCTAGAGGAAGTAAAATTCAAATTTGTGTAATCAACCACATTGCGCAGAACTCATCCTTCAATCAACTTGTATGGGAAAGGTGCCCAAAGTGCTATAAATCCAAAAGGGATGACTTTTATGAGCGATGTAGAATATAAGAGCACGTCTCTTTATCGTTGTCAAACCGTTTTCTATTTTCGATTTTTCAAAACAGTGAAAACGCGTTCTCTTTCCTATTTTCGAAAACTCGTTTTTGAAAATAAATTAAAAATTTACAAAGGAAGCCAAAATTTTCAAAACGCATTTTGGGTGTTTTCAGTTTAACGTCACTCCAACCGCCACCAACGCCGCCTGCACCACACTACCGCACCACAAAAACTACCGCCGCTGCGCCACCACAACATCACGCTAACCACCACCACCACTACACAACCGCTAGATTCGCCACCACAGCTACCTCCACAAAAATCACCTCTCTCTTTTGCGTAGACCCTCTCCCCATCCAACTCGATAACTGGCACACAAAGTGAAGAGCTGGAATGGCACGAATCCCACAAAGCTCATTACAAAAAGAATTTGATGAAGACGATTTAAAAATCGAAGTAATTTCACCCTCTTCCTCACTCGAACCCCAAAACCCCTTAGAAAAACCCATTCTTTCACTCCCATCGAAGCCCTCGCAATCCAAACCCAGTTCAATAATCACTAACAATGCCAACAAACAGTTCCGATCTAACATCTCCGAATTGCTGGAGAAAATGAAGTGAACCTGATTGAAAATAAGAGAGGCAGAACTCAGGAAGAATCCCAAAATAACGATGGATCTAGGGGCGGAGCCAGCCCATCAAAGTAGAGGGGTTCGAGAGTTGAAGGGGTGGGGGCNTTTAAGGGCAAATATGTCTTTTAAAGCATATTAACATATTGTTTTGGATGAAACCGTTATTAATGATGGATTACTAAGTGAAAGGTTGGGGTAATGCTATTCATTAAGCACGGTGACTATTATATGGTATTAAATGATAGACTCATTTAACTGTAAGATTATATGACTCATTTAATTAAACCAATAAAATGTAATTATCTAGACTGGTGCTCCAACATCAATGGAGATAAATAGTATCATATGGCTACGATTCTTGTAAAAAAGGTTTAGGGTTAAAGTGTAACATGGGTAAAAGTGTTATTAGTTGTACTGTTTAGTCCCGACCAATATTTAATATGGAACATGCCCTTAATTGATTAAAGAGAATCTAGAAGAAGTAAAATTCAAATTGGTGTAATCAACCACATTGCGTGGAACTCATCCTTCAATCAACTTGTATGGGAAGGTGCCCAAAGTGCTATAAATCCATAAGGGATGACTTTTATGAGCGATGTGGAATATAAGAGCACGTTCTCTTTATCGTTGTCAAACCGTGTTCTATTTTCGATTTTTCAAAACAATGAAAACGCGTTCTCTTTCCTATTTTCGAAAACTCGTTTTTGAAAACAAATTAAAAATTTACAAAGGAGGCCTAAATTTTCAAAACGCATTTTGGGTGTTTTCAATTTAATGTCACTCCAACCGCCACCAACGCCGCCTGTACCACACTACCGCACCACAAAAACTACCGCCGCTGCGCCACCACAACATCACCCTAACCACCACCACCACCACGCAACCGCCAGATTCGCCACCACAGCTACCTCCACAAAAATCCCCCCTCTTACACCCTCTCCCCATCCAACTCGGTAACTGGCACACAAAGTGAAGAGCTGGAATGGCATGAATCCCAAAAAGCTCATTACAAAAAGAATTTGATGAAGACAATTTAAAAATCGAAGTAATTTCACCCCCTTCCTCACTCGAACCCCGAAACCCCTTAGAAAAACCCACTCTTTCACTCCCATCAAAGCCCTCGCAATCCAAACCCAGTTCAATAATCACTAACAATGCCAACAAACGGTTCCGATCTAACATCTCCGAATTGCTTGGAGAAAATGAAGTGGACCTAATTGAGAGGCAGAACTGAGGAAGAATCCCAAAATAACGATGGATCAAGAATTTTGTTGGATGATAATGAAAACGAGATTGTGGGAAATGAAAATGTTGGTGCCAGTATAAATGATGGAAGAAGGGATGGGGATGAGGAGTGGTTAAGATACTCACCGCCCATGGTTGTGGGGGAAGAGAGGGCGATTGTAGAGGAAAGAGAGGATGGGAGAGAGAGAGACGAGAGAGGGGGGAAGAAAGAGAACAGATTTTTCAATTTTTGATTTTTCAAAATGCCAAAAAGAATACATTTTCAACAATCTCAAAATGAACATTAAAAACATAAAACTCAAAATGAATTGAAAACTCAAAACACAAAGATAATAGCCCCTAAACTTTTGGTCATTTCCGTGGGTTTTATGTTGTAGACTGAGATTACTAGCAGAATCAAAGGGATTCAGACTCGATGGCAAAAGACTATTTCCTCCTACTCCAAGTTTGAGTGGCAAACGGGTAAGAATCGGTAGAAGGCTATATCGTAAAGTAGCAGCTTGGTTCCATATTTGATGATTCTTTATGGCTAATTTAACCGTGTACATACCGAAGTAAATATACAAGGTTACAATCTGTCAATTCGGTGCAACAGTTGGTCCTTTTTTCCAATTTTGGATGGATATCAAGAAAAATGAGTTCGTTTCAGTTAAGTTTCATAAGAACAGTTGGGTAACATAAGGGCATCAATATGTAATAAAAGTCTAAGTGCAACCAATAAACAAGAGCTATAAAGCAGTTTAATCTTCCTTAGTATCCTTATCTTTCTTTATCAACCTATAGTTTTTCGACACGTGATAAGTGTGTTTTATACTTTTGTCTAGAATTTTAAGCAGCACAGCTCCTCCACTTAACAAAGCGTTCAGATAATTTTCATTCTCTCGAAGTGGGTGGCTCAAACCGCCGGGAGGGTGGAGTATTCAAATTGAACAATTAAAAGATACACAAACTTAAAAAGAGGACATTTGACTTGATCTTCACTCATTAAGATTCAATCTAAAGTATTTATCGAGTCCGGAGGATTGAGAGCTAAACATTAACAAAAACAAATTTATATCTTAATTGTTATGTGCCTTTGACATACTTTTCAACATCATGCGTCGTGTGAAATAAATTGCTAATTTAATGAACACTGTCATAGATTCTCGTCAATTTGTTAAAATATTTTGTTTAGCGGCTTGTGCATGACACTCCATTTTAGATATATATTTAGTAATTGATAATTTAATTTAAATGCTTAAACTTTTCTGAATAAGACATATTTCATAAAAGGAAAACAAGTTTGCTTCTCCCTTGATCTTAAAGGCACAGCTCGAAAGACATTTCTTGTTCTGTGTAACTACAAAGAGACTTCCAATTTCCAAGAAAATAAGCTCAAAGATAAATGATTATCGAATATATCTCTTCAAATAATACAATTAATGCAAGCTCGAATCCTAATTGGAGATTAGAAGAATTACAATTTTACTAATAATATAGCCTTGTTATTCTCTCTTATACTCCATATCTTGTCAAAATGGTGCGTGTGGGTCCGTGTAAACTTGTTGACCATTGATCTGATCTGCATATTGATCACATCTGATTTGAGACTGATCATCATAAAATGCAAATTGATCAGAAGCACCACCACCAGCAGCGGCAGCAGAAGAATGCTCATAGTACAAGTTGATTTGATCAGGCTGCATGTAAAACTTTCTTGGTTGAAGCTGCTGCTTCTTTTTTCTCATTCTTTCTTTTTTATGGGCATTTTGATGACCCCCGAATGCCTGTGAATTTTCAAACACCTTTGAACAATATTGGCATTCAAATTTCTTCTTGCTTTGTTGTGCCTCAAAATCCACACTCTCATGCCCTTCTGCAAACCCTCTTTGTTCATTAGTTTGACGTGGATCGATCTCGAACCCGAATAGCCGGATGAGTTTTTTCTCCGAGCTGGACGATTCGCCGTCTCCATTACGTGTTTCCATCACTCTTGAAATCAAATGTACAAGAGCTAGCGTGTGAGTGTTTGTGTGTGTTAATTTTGTTGAATTTGATATATTATGTTGAGCTTCTCTTCCTTATAAAGGAAATCTTATTGGATTTTGACTGTGTATTGCATCTTTTTTCCATTTTTTTTTAATTCTAATCATGAGTAGCATAAACACACCAAAGGTCAATGACTAAGGAAGTCGTATTAGGGTAAAAGTCTCATACAATATTGTTTTTAAAGTTTCTCTGCACCACAAACTTTTCCCACCAAAGAGGATTAAGTTCAGATTATGATTGCAGTTAGATAACTCCAGGTAGCATCGTGATAGTCTTTAAAATGCAATCCGGTTGGCAGATGCCCAGATTCTGCATGCCGCACCAGCCCGCCACAAGAATTGGGCAAGCACCGGCTAGCCTACAAAGCTTCGTGCACTCGACGAACAATAATCACATGTGTAATTAGACATGAGATAAGGAGAAATAAATATTATTTTTTGTTAAAAGTAAGGATAAAAGTCAAAGAGAAAATGGGGATGCAATCGCCTGGTATAGTAACCAAATCTAGTGCTGTACTTGAAAATGCTTATTAAAAATGCCTTTGATTGACCAACTGATTAGTGGATTCATTTGTTGTCATCTACCAGATATCATAGAATACAAAGCAAATTAGTACTCTAATTAGTTATTTTTAGAAAATCTCGAATTTCGTAGATTTATTCTTAATAAATTTAAAATCGTTTACATCTATGTTATAAGATATAACAAACTTTTTATATTGTCATTCACATACCACGACCCTCTACCTTAATCCCTAAAAAGAACATCAAAATCAACCCACGAATATGTTTATCTTAAGAATCGATAATGCCCTGTTTGATAGGGCTTATTTTCCATGGAAGTTGAAAATTATTTTTCCATTTTCCAAGTTATTGCATATTTGATTGGCCAAAAATTCCATGGAATTGGTTTTCCAACAAATTTTACCCATTTAATTGATAATTTCCATGTAAAACAAAACCAAATAAATACCAAAAGATCCAAAATTTCAATATTTTCCATGTGAAGAATTATGTTAATCAAACACAATTAATTGACAATTCTCAGAAAAACAATTCTAGGAAATTCAATTCCCTATAATTCATTTTATTTCCACCCAAATTCCACTTTTGTAATCAAACGAAGCCTAACTGAAAATGGATTTATTATTATTATTATTATTGTGAGTGGGTATAATGCTGGAGACATGTATAGTGATGTGGCCATAAGGGTTTTCAACAAGATTTAAGCATATCTTGTTACAGCAGACAAACCCTAGATTTGGTATCCCAAAAGCATATCTAGTATTAATTAATTACCCAAACAAAGCATTCCTGTTGAACATTTGTTTTATTTGGTCCCACCTTTTTGCTTTCAAGACTACTAGATTGCAAGTCATGTTTGGCATAGCTTAAAAATAAGTAAATTTGCTTTTTAGTATTATTTCCAGGGAAAAAAAAAAGTTATTTAATTTGAAAGCAACTTTTATTTCACCATCAAATGAAGTTATTTATCGTTTCAATTTTATTCAATAAAAAAATTTATTTATTTTAAAATTATTTACTTATTTATTTTTCATAAGTAAGACTTGTTAACTTGCCGAACATGTTATTCCATTGTCTCTTGCTACATTTTCAATGGGTGGACTTCTTGCCCACCAATTAATTTCTTAATCTCATCAATTCCCACTTCTTTTCTCTATATTCCAATCGAATAATTGCTTTCTTACTTTATTTGAAGAATTCTAAATGGGCATGCGTCATCACGCATTTCACTATCTGAAGTCTTAACATGTGGAAACAATCCAGAGGAATTGTTTTACGGTTTGGTGTTTCATCTCACGATACTTATCCCATCTAAAAGTTATTAATGATAATATTTATTTATGCACATTTGTATCAAATTTTAATATGTGACCAATTTTCATAAAATAACAATGAGATTTGAACTCGAATTTTCACAGTTCTTTCCTTTTATCGATTTGTTAATAGTTACGCTCATATTTGATGGTCATTACTTGGTCGAAACAATGTTTTGAATGGTAATTTTTAGAAAAATGTATGGTTCAAAAGTAGAAATTTTTTTTAGATTTATGTGCAAAATATTTTATTGTGTTAATGTGTGGTTGAAAATGAGTATGTAAAAAAAATAGTTTGAAAATAATGGTTGTCACACGGGGGCTAAGTAGGGGTGTCACGAGTCAAACCGAACCTCGAAGCTCGAGCTCGATTAGAGTAAAAATGGTTTGGATTTTTTTGGGCCCGAGCCGATCAAAAGCCCGGTCAAAAAATTTAGGCTCGTCCCTAGCTTCTGGCTCGGGGTTTAGCGAGCCGAGCCGAGCCCAAATAAAGCCGAGTCAACTTGGTTTTAAAAAAAAAAACAGTATAACTAGCTGCTAGGCAGCTATCATAGCTATGACTGCTGCCTGCAACTCAGACATATGTAATTTTTTCGGCTCTTTATTTTTTTTTTTTAAGTTTTGCAAATTACTTTTTTTTAGGCTAGTTCGTCATGGGCTGATTTGTCGAGTGACACATGTCGGCCCGTATGGCTCGTCGAGCCACATGGACTGGCTTTGGCCCATCGAGCCCAAGCCGGCTCGACTCAAACTTTTTTCAGGCCGAAACCGTCCTAGCCAGCAAGCCACATTGACATTCCTAGGGTTAAATATCGAAAAGTGATCCCTGTCTTCACCAACCCCCATATTAAATCTGTTCTAATCCAATGTATTTTGTCTGTAATGGACAAAATCACATAATAAAGATCAAGTCAATGAGAAATTTCACATTTCCTAAACAAAAGCAAAATTCTCTAGGCAACCACTGAACTCTAACATTAAACAAACATTTGTATCCACGTGAATGATGAAAAAAATGTATGTGGTCAAATTATTTTTTCCAGAAAAAATATAAATTCATTAGTTATATTACGAAAATAAATTCTTGCACGTAAAGATTTATTGAAACTCGGCAACACGGAAAATAATGCAGTGGAGGATGAAGTATATGAGTTCATAGATTGGGATCATCCAAGCGCATGTAAGGGAGTATTTTGCAGCACTTCACATCTCTCTGTTGATCAGCACAATCATTATTATTATTATTAAAATATGATTGAACTAGACACGAACTATTTTACTTTTATTTTACAAGAGAGCAAGTTTTAAAGTTAGCAATGAACTCATGTTGTCCACTTGCTACCCGGGCTGACTTGTAAGAGCTTGACTCATGAATGACTCGACTCATTCCATTATGAGCCCATGGACCAAGCCATGCTCGTCAAGTAAAGCACGTGGGCTTCGTAAAATGGCCCTTTGAGTGGAGTAAGGTACGTGGGCTTCATAAGATGACCCTTTGAATGACTACAAGAATGCACCCTATTTTGAGTATTTTCATTATTTCTTATTTAATTACAGTAAATTTTCTTTTGTTTTGTCCTATATTTAGTTTTTTTCATATATATACATATATTTATTGAATATTGTGTAACAAATATGGAAAAGCTCGTGGGTTATCGGTTCTTGATTCATAGGGCCCATGGGCCACTCGGTACTGCTAATGGACCCCATCTAGATGGTTTCGATGCTTCAATGCCGCTTGTGGAGCCTGAGGATCTAACTTGGTTGAGGCCGAAGACAGCATTTCTGGGCCAGCCCTGAGAAGCCTCTGGGGGTGAACGTGAATATGAAAGGCCGATTTTTTGACAAAGCAAAATTGTTGACAGTTGTTGGACAAATACTTGGCTCCCTTGATAATTCAGAAAAGCCCAAACACTGTAAAAAAATGGAATAACTTTGTGTGAGAAGACCTACTTAATTACAATGCACCTTCAGACTGTTTGGAAATCCTAACTCATAAAATAGAAAAGTAGAACCCAAGTTTATTTTAGAGACTCAAAAGACCTCCTTCATTTCCTATATATAACAGTAGTAACTATTTACATCTCCCTATAAATATGTGTTTAATTTCGTTAATAATACAAGTTGGCTTCCTTACGCACTTTTTTTTTTTTTTAATTATTCCAGTTAATTTACGTAATATCTACAGGGCCGGATCTGAGGAGAGGCCCAAGAGGCCTCCGACTCA